TAAGCCTGTGAGAAAGTCTTTTAGGGGAAAATACATTATTTCTTTATACTCCAGGGGAATAATAAAGGCATGATTACAGTCTGCAAGTATGGAAAGGGTTGCTAAAGGGCATATACAAAGGTCATCGATTTCCAAACTGTTGATAATCAGGAGCTAAAGGGTTGTGACAAAAGACGTTCAAATTAGGAAAACTACCCTCCTGAAACATCATGACAGACAGGACTGTTATGGAGAGTTACAGAGTTTCCCCAGCCCCCCTTCCTAACTCCTCCTTTTCTGTAGGCTAAATAACACCTGTTCCCTCTGCCAGTCACAAGGCTTGTTCTCCAGACATGTCCCTGCTTTGATTTTCTTCATGTTTTTTTTTTTTTGTGTGTGTGTGTGTGTAAAATTGGAGTGCATGGGAGCTGAACTAAATGCACATGAACAATCTGAGTTTTGATATTTCCAGGTACTTACAGAATTTACTGTTTCCAGAGTGTCAGTGGTAATGATGACGTACATATTTATCTTGTGTTGCCATCTATGGAAAGACAGTGTAGACAGTTTTTAAGGTTCCATGCATCTACATAATGATTTTATCCAGCTTGAAGGCCTCTTAATGAACCTAAAAGAATGATTACCGATAGAATGAGTAACATCTGGTATTGTCAGATTTCACATTTGCCATGGCTGTGGTCTTAGTGGTTTTGACAGTTTCATGATGGCATTTCATTTCAGCTATTTCACACAAATTGAAGAATTACAATTAAAAGCCTTACAGCGCAAAAAAGTAAAACCTCTTAACCTACAAACTCTAATTCTCACATGTGATGCTTGTAATGATTTTCATATCTCATGTTTAAAGCTGTTCATTGCTGTTGTGAGTGGCAACTAATATGTGTTTAAATGTATATTTGTAAATGTACGATCATGCGCTTTGTCTAGCATCACTTCTTTACCCTTTGTAATGTCACTGAGAGCTGGACTGTTCTGAAAGTTATGGTCATTTCCAAGATCAGAGACAGTTGCTGTCTGGGCACCCTGTTCCAGTGTTACCACTTTAAGAGTAAGAAGTTTTTCTTAGGTTCAGATGGAATTTGTTGACATTCAATTTATGCCTATTTTCTGTTGTCCTCTCACTGAACACCACTAGGAAGTTTCCACCTTAGTAGTCTTTACTCTCCCTTCAGGCATTTAATAGGCACTGATAATACTTCTCCTCACCTTTTTTGTACCAAGCCTCCTCCAGGATGGACAGTTGCAACTCTCAGCCTCTTCAAAGACTTCAAATGCTCTTTGCAGGGTTGCAAAGGGTTGCTCTTTGAAACCCTTCACTGGACTCCCTAAGGGTATACTCATGTCTGTTCTACTGGGGAACTCAGAGCTGCTGGCGCTGTTTTTCTAAGGTAGCCCAAGATGTTGTTAGCTATGCTATATGGTTTAGAGACTTGTGGTAGCAATGGTAGTGGGAGGATGGTTGGACTAGATGATCTTGCAGGTCATTTCCAACCTTGCAATTCTATGATTTTATGATTCTGTGCCAGGATCATTTTCACTAATTGACTTATTGAGGTCTCATTTGAAATTTTGAGCGACCTTATATATACAGCCTAAAAAGAGTTTCCTGCTCTCTTCTAAATTGTGGAATTTCCTCTTTCCAAGTTGAAGCAGCTTGCCGCAAAATAAATTATGTTTCATGACGCTTTAGACTGTTGTCCAAAAGATCTGTCCAGTGAAACCGAAACGTTTGCCTGAAATGTCTCCTGCAAGATTGAGAAATATTTCAAAATTGAGCCATTTTTAGGTATAGGCTTATTTTGGTAATTGCTTTCCATTTAATTTGAAGTTCTGTCACAGATGGAAATGACTACACTGTTTGCATCACTCCTAAGAGGGAAGCAGGAATGTATTTACTGATACAGCGATTTAACAAAGTGGACAGTGACTTAAGAGGATTCAGAATGGTTGGATACACTTGGTATTAGCAACACAGGGTTAAACATGCAGGAGGCCGTTCTGTTGAATTACGAGCTTCTCTTTTGCTTTCTAGAGATCTTGAACTACAGAGGTCAGGAGCCTAAGTGCAGCTGAATCCACACCTTGTCCCAGGCTTGGTCAGTGGTTTTATGTCTGCAAGATTACATGTACACAATCAAAGATACAATCTTAGAAAAACTGGCCAAGTTTAATAGTCACTTGTCGAGTGTCTGCATCAGCAAGGCATCTCCACAGGTGTAAGGGATTCTCTACAGGAGTAACCTCAAGAGACGTCCCTACTCAAGGGGGATCCTGTAATGGAGAGCTCTGGGGGCTTTTGGGCTGCTCCGCTTTCGTGAGTAAGGTGCTAGACTCGTAGTATCTAGCACATGCCCATTTGTCCACAAGAATAAGATCTTGTATGTGATATTGAGGCTGAAGGAGGATGTTGGGAGCAGAGTGGGAGCACACTGTCATAACTTGATTACTAATTGTCACGATAGCTAGATAGATGTCTAGCTGGGACATATTTTACATCTGCTGCATTAGTTTTGAGGTAAAGACAGATTACCAGGTAAAGGAAAAGCCACACATGGAACTCCAGGAGAACAAGGAATCTGTTTGCTACTTCCACACTGGAAGGCAGATGTTCAGCCATTTCTAAACAAGCAGGGCTCATTTGCCTAACAGTTTCTTGATCAGACAAAAATCATGGCTCTATGTCCCCCATTTCTTCCTTCTTTTCTCCACCTTTTATTGCTGAGCACAGTGCCATGTAGTATGAAACATCCCTTTGGTCAACTGTCCTCATTCTGTGTCCCTCCAGCTCCTGTTGCACTACTAGCTCCTTGTTATCTTGGTATTGTGAGAAACAGAGAAGCACTTGGCTCTGTGCAGAGCTGCTCAGCAACTTCGGTGCGCTCTCTCTGCTGTCTTTGTCACAAAACCAAAGCATAGCATCATACAAGCCTCTGCAGAAAAATAAATGAACTCTGTCTATGCATGTTATAATGTGGATTGTTGCAAACTTTTTCCCTTGCTGTAAGTTTTCTTTACAGATTCATTTTTCCTTGTCCTGCTTCATTTTTAAACTAATTCTCTTATGTAAGAATGCTTTTAAAGATAGTATTATTTCAATATCTTGGAGACTTTCTTAAAATTCATCTGTTATGTGAGAAAGTTGGTAGTATATTTTACAGAAGTCCCTTGTTACAGTGGATGAAACTGATGATGGTTCATATTTTTCCATGCAGTACACTATATAATGTATCTGTGCTTTTCTTGCATTCATTTCCGTGTCGTTTTAGGAAGCAGTGTGGTCAGCTGCTGTAGGGTGGACAGAAAAATAAGTGCCTTAATATGGACAGGCCTTAGTTATGCATGTAGTTTTTTCACATGATTTGTGAGGTTTATGTATTATCCACGTGGTCTTAGGGAGGTATAAAAACAGAATAGGGCAACGGATTATTTACTTAAATCCTGTAATTACTATAATTGCATTGATAAACTCTGTTGTAGCAGTTACATTTTTAGGCTATTGCAGTATTCAAATGAATAAGATAAGTTTAACTGCAGTATTCCTTCTGAATAATCATCTAGTCTCAGTCTGAATTTGCTAACAATTTGAGTGTCCTCTATTTTCTGTGGCACTTCATTTTCGTTGTTAGTTATTGTAATTTTTGGGGCTGATTACTTATTAAAGTTGACCCAAAGAATGATAAAAGATGTATTAAAGGAAGTTCTTTGTCTATTGTTACTCATTTTAAATAATACTTGGAACGATTAAGAAATACTGGAAGATGAGGGAAGTGCTGGTGTGTCAGTGCTTGATAGAAGATAGGTCAATGAAGACAATAACAAATTAGACTGTCACAACTTGATTAAATGAGTGGAATATTAATGGAAAATTATATTGATAATTAAATGACAGAATAAACTTCATTCAGATTATGGGTTTGCTTTATTACAGTTACTGCTGCAGTATAATTTAATATTATGTAAGCTAACTACTTAAAATAAGTCCTGTTCAAACTTAAAGACTGTTCAGTGTAAGCTAAGTAGCTGCTTCATGAGGAACTTAGGAACTTTTCTTCCTTAGAAAGTTCAAATTAGAAGCAGTCTTCAGGAGTGGTGATCTTCAATAAATATTTATAAGAACTATCTAGCAAGTCAATAACTATCTTTGGGAAATAATGTTCAATCATAGTAAAATTTGATTTCAACTTGAAAGTGGTAAAATGATAAATAGTAAAGAATTTATTTGCTGTTATCCAGTTACGTGATAAATTATGTCCACAGTCAAAAAAAAAAAAAAAAAAAAAAAAAAAAAGCAAGTCAGATTTTCAGAACTGAAGCACAGAAATCCAGGGAAGCTGGATTCCACTGTTGGTCCTGTGGAGTTAGACAAGCAGAGAAAGACTTAATATAGAGAAACATAATTCCTAGTGACTGTCGGAGCCTAAAGCTTTACTAATTCAGACTGGAAACAAAGTACAAAAAACAGTAACCTTTGAAACTATCATAGAAAGTGGTGGGTTAATTTAAGAGCTAATAAAATTTAGATTGCATGCCTTTTTGTGCGATACTCTGTATTTAAATACAAGTGATTGGTCTTAGAATTGGTTAGCTGAGGGAAATACAAAGTCTCCCATTAACAGGAAATAATTCTAATCAGTTATATCATTCTATCTGGCCTGAAACTCAAAACCTCCCATGCAAAAACTAGAAATCTTTGGAGATGCTTTTTATTATATTAGGTGGCATCTGCAGTCTCCGCTTGTCTGCTGCTTCCATCAACACACACCTGAGTTTGGTAGTGCTTGGCTAATCTTTGCCAGCAGAGTCTGCGGCTACAGTAAGACAGTCCTCCTAGTAAAAGTTTATTCAAGCTGTTAGAAAATGTAATGTTTTCCACAAAATAAGCCAAGAACTTCATTGTTTTTGATTGGAATGATTGGTAAAGTTTTTTAGCTCTTGTTTGGAATGGCTACTGTTAGGACAGCGTGTTTAAACTTGAGGCTAACACAAATCATTTCTTACAGCTGCTCAACTTCACTGTGAATGTGCACAGGTGTAATTTCCAAGCAGCACCACAGGTTCGTAATGCCTGACTAGGATATACTCTACTAAAAGGAGCTAGAGAACCTTTTGGACAGCTGTCTGTACATGGCTAGAACTGTACCTCTGTGGCAATGAGGGCAAATTGACTAATCTCCTGTACCAGTAGGAGCATACCTCAGGTATACCTTGTTGCCAGCAGGAACAGGGCAGTGATTGTCCCCCTGTACTCAGCTCTGGTGACGCCGCACCTCGAGTGCTGTGTCCAGTTTTGGGCCCCTCACTGCAAGAAAGACATTGAGGCCCTGGAGCGGGTTCAAAGAAGGGCAGCAAAGCTGGTGAGGGGTCTGGAGCACAGGGCTTATGAGGAGCGGCTGAAGGAGCTGGGAATGTTCAGCCTGGAGAAGAGGAGGCTCAGGGGAGACCTCATTGCACTTCATAACTACCTGAAGGGAGCTTGTAGTGAGCTGGGGGTCGGCCTCTTCTCTTGTGTAACTGGTGATAGGACCAGGGGGAATAGTTTCAAGCTGCGCCAGGGGAGATTTAGGCTGGACATTAGGAAATACTACTTCTCTGTAAGAGTGGTCAGGCAGTGGAATGGGCTGCCCAGGGAGGTGGTGGAGTCACCGACCCTGGGGGTGTTCAAGGAGTGATTGGATTTTGTGTTGAGGGATATGGGTTAGTGAGAACTATTGGTGATAGTGGATGGTTGGACTGGATGGTCTTGTAGGTCTTTTCCAATCTTGATGATTCTGTGCTTCATCTTGTTTGTCTCCTCAGTTCAAGACAGATGTGAAATTGTAGATATAGCAGGTAGCCTCCAGGATGATTAGAGAACTTGGCATTTGAAGAATGGTTCAAGGATGTTCAGCAGAGAGAAGAGTTGGAATGATGTCCTTAGTCATCCAATTTCTAGAAGGTATTTATGGTGAAGAAGTTATCTTTTTAAGTTTCTTTTTCATAAGGATGTATGGTGAGACAGGAAACTTCATCTGGATGTAAGGACAAGAAAATCTATTGGAAATATTTAAGATTAGAATAAGTTCTGCAGAGGAACAGTGGAGTCTCCCTTACTGGAAATAGCGAAGGCTTATCTTGGCATTATGCTGGATTACCTGATGAATAGGCCATGCTTGTGACAGAAGGTTGTTGCAGATGATTTCTAGAGATCTTTTCCAAACCACTCTGCTCCATGATGCCATGATTGACTCTGGGCAGATACAGAAAGCTTGGAGGCAAGGCAATAGCAGGGCTATCTAAAGAAGTCTGATTGTACTTACTAAAGTAGGCAATTAGTAGAATATTTTTCCACATTTTTCTGAAGTTTATACAAGATGCATGTCTACTTGCCTTGCTTTATCTTGGTCCTTTTTGTTATTTTGTAGTAGAAAGCGAAAGAAAGCTGCTGATCAGAATTTTAAGATGAAGTTGTTCTTAAATTATGGACTAAATGAATGATATGTTTATATTATTCATATCATTTATTTATAATGTAATGTGGTGCTGGTAAGTGATAATCCCACAGAACCAAATTTGTAGACTTCATGTGTTTCACAGGGCTATTTGCTTTGCATGATAGGTGGTTGAAATGAAGCAGTACTCCTCTGTTCAGTTGGCCAGAAAATATATGCTGCTTCTAAGGTTGAGGAGCAGACAAAGAAATATGAGGTACAATATTACTAAAGCTGAGAAAAATGCCAAAAAGGGGAGAAATCTCTTGTGGTGTAAGAAATGGTGGGCAGAGCCGTAGGGTAGATCCACTGAGGCAGACAGTGCTGCAAAGTAGAGGTATATACGCTGTGAGAATCTGGGGTGTCTGATACCAAGGCAGCGGGTTTTGATGATAAAATGACGTCTTCAGTAGCCTCACATGCTTATTTCTTTTGTGTATGATTTAATTTGGAATAGCTTCCTTTGGTCTTAGATACTGCTGTATTTTTGTTAGAAGCAGAATAGTCTGGGTGATGTTAATTCTCTGCATGTGCACCTTTTGGGAGGAGATAAAGAGGTGTGTCCCAGAAAGCTGGAGGCACCCCTTACTCTTTCCTAGGCTCTTTTTGCGCTCCCTCTCAGCTGAGAGTCTTCACGAGGATTAAAAATACTTTGCTGTGTGCTAGGATCTGGGCTAACAGCCTGTGTTCAATGGATCTTCAGCTACTTTGTCATTTGTCTTTTCAAGAGTCTTCAATTAATGGCACGTAGCTCTTTTGAAAGTCAAACTATTAAGAGCAGAGTTAGGGACGGGGAGAAAAAGTTAAAGTACTAGATACATACATATCTAGGCAGCTTTTGATGGTAGCCAAAGCAGAAATGATTTCCCGGGAATTTTCTAGTCTCTCCCTCTTTGTCTGTAGTGGTCCTGCAAATTACTTTGGTGTCTCTCCTAAGAGAAGGCTCTTTTAATAGTCTTAGAGTTTTTCTGTTTTTAGAGGCCTTTTTCCCTTCCCAGCTGACCCATGGGATTGCTTGAGAGAAGCTGACATTAAAAAAAAAGATTAAAAATTCTGGCTTTGTCCTCTAACTACTTAGTATGTACAGAGATGAGGCTGTTGAGAGTCAGTATTCTCCACCCCATCTTTCAAGCCAGAATTCTGTTAAAACCAGCAGTCTAAGGCAATCATCTTAAAAATTCATCCAAGACAGTTTTCTTTTTTATAAACTGTCACAGGGCAATTATGAAGTAATATTGTGCCAATATTACTTATCCTTGCAATGTACACTGTGAGAAAATATGATTCTGTAATTAAAAGACCATTTCGCACACAACTGTTTGCCAAATTTGTGTTTCTTCAACATTTCTATTTGTCCCCATTGCTTGATATGTAGTCCTGTGTACTGTGGAACAACACAATGCAAATCTTATACTGCATATAACATTACTATGTATTACACGGATTTTTTTTGAGGCTTTAATTGCAGAGCAGTAGTTCTTCATCAACACAGATTCCTTGAATTTTCCCTATCATCTATTGTGTGTAGAGGATTCTCGGTGGCATTTTTGTGGTAGATGATAGTAGAAGAGGGATCATGAAATTGTTACCCTTCTCAGTGGCAAAGACTCACCTGGTATGCTGAGCTTGAAAAAAGTAGGGAAGATTCTTCAAAGTTTTAAAACTGGAATCTTGCAATCCCTGGTTCTGAGCATTGAAGCGGATTGAACGCCCAGAAAATGAAAGAAGTACAGGAAGAAATTATCTGAGAACATTTTGTTTGAATGCAATTGAGTCGTGTAAGAGCACATTCTTTCCTTCAGCAGAATTATCCTAGGCACCATTCTTGTGTCTCTGCTGCAGGATTGCTTTTTCTGTCTCCAAAATTACTTGCATGATTCAGTAGACACTACCCATCTGCCTCTTCCAAAGAAATGGGGTTTTCTACACACTTAAAATATATGGAAGATCAGTGCTTTAGAGAGTACCATGTTAAGCATTTGATGTTGCTGCTGCAGAAAATTCTTAGATGCTCATTTTGAACCTTTTGCTGGTTAACGATAAGACCATCATGTAAGTCTCTCAGAGGCTATGTTGAGGCTGTGCTTCCTGTTTTTGTATCCTTTTAACATGTTTATTTGATCTACAGGCATATGGTTATGGAAGTCGTTTTCAACATTTCAAGAATGTTAAACTAGAATAATTAGAATTTCAGCCCATGAAGCCATGTTGCTTGACATGATAGGTGCATTAATGCATATAGCTCATAGTAAAACGCCTACTAAGCTTAAGGGGTAAATAACATTAGAAGGTAGATCGTGTGGAAATAAATCAAACTCTAGTGGCAGCTGCAGTCTTGTACTTTATCAGCAAATCCCACCACCATTTGTTAGAATGTGAAGATATACCAAGATTCAGGGATTGGGATTCTTGCCAATTTATTTGTACTCCAGTGGTAAAAGATCCTGCTCTTCTAACATTTATTTCTCTCCTCCTGTGCGTCTTCCCTCTGGTTTTCTGCAACTGTACAGAGTGTGCTCTAGGCAAATAGGTAAATTTTCTGGAAATTCTGATAAGTCTTAATAAGTCTGTAATAAATGTGTGCAAAAAGCAAGTTTTATTTGTGCAGATCTGGGCAGGCTCTAAGGGGAGAAGGAAGAGGCGCACACTGCATGCTAAACTGATCCTCTGGCAAAGTTTCTGATCTCTGCAACATGGAGATGCCATAGCTGCTCATTAACAGCAAAACTGAGTAAAAGATACTGCTTCTGAACCTTCTTCATATGCAAGATGTTGACATTTTAGCTGAACCTACTCAAAACCATTTAGTCTAAAGCAGATTGGAAATAATTGTCCTTCAGAGCTAAAGTGTGGGAAACGTGTAAGAAAATAAGATCTTTATAAGTAGAAGAAAGTGAAGTATAACATTAATTGAAGCAATGTTATTGATGTTGAATGTCATGTCCTATAAGCAGGGATAAAATAGAATTAGACAAACAAAAAACCAACTACAGATTACAAAGTGTATTTTGTGCTTTTTCTGAGCCTGTACAGAGAAAGAAATAAGAACCCAGCTGTCATCCAAATATCTATTTCAAGTAAAACTGGGTTCAGCAGGAACACTGCACTAGTCTAATCCCTACTCGTCCTTTCCTTAAAATGTCGGTTTACAAAAAGCAAGGCTAATTCAGCTGTCTTCTAATAAACCACTGTAACCAGGCATTCTGGTAACTCATATTCAGATAAACTATATGGATTTTTGCTTCCTGATAGTGCCAGTGTTTTCTTCTGTGGTGCACTTGTAATGGGTTAGCATTGCAATTATTTATGTCCTTTACATGGAATATTTGTACCACAAAACATTGACTTTATTTCAACTATCGCTAATGTAGAGGGCAAAATCTTATACAAAGTTTTAGGTTTTTTGTTTGTTGTTTGTTTGTTTTGTGGGTTTTGTTTTGGTTTGGTTTTTGCTGCATTTCTAGCTGGGAAAAAAAAAAAAAAGTGTCTAAAAATCTATTTATCTGCATTTGTTTCAGAGTCAGAATACAGTAGAACATATACTTTGATACTGCTCGTTTTCAAATCAAGCACTGTCAAGATCCAGGTTTCTGGTACTACTTCACTAAAAAGATTATGAAATACGTGTACATATTACCATAATGTGCAAAAGTCTGTTTTGTTTTTGAAACTCAGTGATCATTTGTGAATCCACCAGTTGTATTAATAGGAGTCTAGTGAAAATGCTTCCTGTCTCATGCGAAGCCAAAATATTTATGATGCCAAATGATATTCAGTATTGCTAGACATTGAGGTTGAAGAATATGTGTAATATATTTTCTGATAGATCACTGAAGTTTGATTGCAAAGGCAAGACACTTGGAAAATAATGTAAGTTCTCATGGAAACAATAACTGTTGTCTTTAGGTCATGTGCTTGTCTTAGCTACTGGAACAAACAAATAGAAGATGTTTTATAAAGGGATCATCTAATTAGCTGCACTGAGTAAGTATTCAGGGAGCTCTGTAATGTTTCCACTGTTTGTTTCTGGACCATCAGACTCCAACTCATTCAACATCTATTTGTGAAAGAAAGGAAATCCAGCCCTCTCATCCAATTTCTTCTGTTTGTCATTTAAACTAATATCAGTGAGTGTTTCAATTGAATTTTTGCAAACAATACATAAAATTCTGTGTGCTTGTTTCATCCTCATTTTAATATCAAGTCCTCCCTCCAGTGGCTGCTGTAACAGTTTTTTTTTACTTTGACAAAAAGAACTAGAAATTCTATTCCAAAGTTAAATTGAGGTTTACTTATTTATAATTGGTGCTTCTAAATTTAATAGTGAGCCTGTAAGTTATCTGGTCTTTCCTTAGTGACCAGATTTCCATAGGTTACCAGGTATATATTGGAAGAACAAAAATGGCTGAAATTCTTTGTCACTGCATTGATTTTTCAGAGTAATTAGTGGGGATTATTTTATGAAGGTGAATCTGTGTGGATAAATTCTGTATTACTTAAGCTGGTGAATAACATGTTTTTAAACACTTGTTTGTGACTTGTGGCTGCATTAACTGAACTATATTCAATTATGAATTTTCAGATGTCCTGTAAGGAGGACTACCGAAGGATAACTTTCACCTGACTTATCACAAATCAGTGTCACTGTCACTTTCTGGCAATTTCAGTAAATGTAATTGGAGTGATTTTGTTTGTTTTCTGATGTGATTAACTGGAATGTATATGTTTTTATGCTGCAAATATACAGACTGATGATGGGCAAGATATTCTATCTGATCATCTTGTCAGTGAACTACTTGGAAGCATCTGAGAAACATAGTTCAAAAAATCCATGCATGCTAATCAATGTCAAGCCATTTTAATATTTATATTGAATATGTTATATGTCAGAAAATAGAAAAAAAAAAAAAAAGCTGTGGCTTTCCTGTCCTTTTTATTCATTACTTGTGTTGTCACTGCTAGCATGATAAAGTGTTAGCTACAAGATGGCCATTTTAACTTAATCGGGTAGAGTTGTACCATTTTATTTTATTGTTTTTAAAGTGCATAGTCGAAGTAGAAGTTTCCTGGTAGAATTATGTTTATAAGAGACTTGGACAGTGCATTCTCATTTCACAGCAGCTTTGTTGGAACCACCAAGCAAGGCATCAAAGTCTAACCTCGGCCAGACTTTTAGAATAGATTGTTAAACTGTCTTGAACAGCAACTTAAAAAAAAAAAAAAATCTCCTTAGTTAATAACTATCAGCTTCTTATGTTATTTTATTCCTTAATCTACAAGAAAATGTTTTGGGTAATATTTCTCTAGTTTAATGTAATAATTTCTGTGAAGAAAAGACACTTTCATCCTCTGCTACTCTGTCCTTACCAAGTTTTTGTTGTTGTTTTTTTGTTTTTGTTTTTCTCTGCTATTCTTACAATGAACTACTTAAAAAACATTTTGGAATTCTTTATGGTTGCAACTCTCAGGGAGTCATTAGAACAGTGGGTAAATCGTATTGCTTTTTGTTTAAAAGTTGCAGGTTGCTGCAGGGATGCAGTTCATGCAGGTTCGCCCATGATGAAGTACAGATTGTGGAAAAGAGTTAAACAAATTGTTCATGACTGACAGATGAAACAACTAAAAGGATGAAGGAAAAAAGAACTCAATGCATAGAAGTCTTTTTATTGAAAAGGGAGAAGCAATGGTTGTGATTTGGTGGTTTGCTCCCTTGGTGTCAGATTCAAGATGAAAGGGATTGCAGATTTGAATGTCTGGGTTGCCTTCTGTGCATTAGGAAAAAATTTAGACGCCCATTTTGTGTGGATACTGACACCTAGTCTGTACCTGGACATTTACTGGATAAATTTCAGTGGAGATAATGGTTTTGAGCTATATACTCCTTATTATAATTTTAGTAAAAACTGAAAGCTATAAGATACAGCACGAATAATTAAATCTAAGTAATTGAAGTAGAAAAATCTGCAGAGATTTTGGAAGTTCTGTTAATTATGTTTGGTTTTGTTTGTATTTTCTACTGTGGCCTTTCAAGTGTTGTGCTTCTCCAAAAAGCTAATCATTTACTGATCTTGTTTTAAATTTGCAATGAATTACTGTTGAATAAATCAACGTCCCTTCAGTATTAGGGCGAAGTTGTTATTTATTCTTGTGAATTTGAATCTTTGACCCCACGTGATAGAGGAGTTTGTGTTACACTACATTGTGAAACTTCTAAATCTGTGATAGTGTGATGACACTCTACTTTGTCCAGTATACATTTTGAAGAAGAGGAAAAAGTCTATTTAAATTTTACTCCATATGCTGGTTCTTATACTCAGGGAAGCTTTGTTTTTGAAACGAGTCCTGTTTTATGTGCAGTTCTGTTTATATATGTGTTAAGAAATAAGATCCCTTAAAGTCAAATTTGTTAATGTTTAACTTGTTGGTTTTCAGATTGTCATTTGAAGATAGATGCACTTATATTTTAGTATTTTAAATCTGCTGACAGCTTGGGTAGTGATGGCTCAACTCCAGCAAGGAGTCCCTGATGAAAAAGAAAAGACTACTGCATTAAAGGGTATGAATACTTTTGCCTTCTTTTCACGTATACAGAGTTTTCAGAAACAGTTATTAATATTAAGGAATGGAAAGTACTTTGATCTTGCTGTGGGTTAGAATCTCGAAATTGCAGTACTGGACGAGACGATTAGACTGTGTGTGTAACGTCCATTTTCAATAGTTTTATAAGATTATTTAAAAATAATGGTCTGTGGTAAGCAGTAGCAGAGTAAGAAATCCATTAATTTTATAATTTTCATAATTATCCTTTGGTACTTTTGTGATCTTATTTTCTGGAAGGTATAATTTAATTTTTGTGCCACTTATGTTTTAGAATTAACTATCCATATTACAGCTTTTAAAAATCCCTTTAACTGTGGTATGTTAGCAGGGAAACCATTTTCAGGACATTTATATCTGTACTGATTTTAAAGAATTTTCTTTGTATTTTATGTTTAGGAACAAAAATCACACAATCTAAGTGATTTATGTAGTAGATTTCATAAGGGGAAGAATAAATGCAATAGATGACATTTTTAGAGAATAGACTTGCACAAATATGTTATTAGAAATATATCTTCTGTTATACAGTGATAGAAGATAGCGTTTCTTAATTTAGAATTGTGTATTTGAGAAAGGCTTGGTGACAACCTGTGTGTTACTTATTCAAATCTGTACTAATTTTGTTGAACGTATGCTCAGGAAATTTTACTTAATGTTTGGAAAAGTAAAACCTCAATTTTAAACTTGACGTTAATTTGATTGTCTATTAAGGATTATTACACAAGAATCAGAGTCAGGGAGTGGCTTAGATTGGAGGAGACGTTAAGGATAATCTAGTTCCAACTCCCTGCTGTGGGCAGGAGTGACAGCTGCTTTATCTGGCTGCCCAGGATCCCATCCAGCTAGGTGTGGAACATCTCCAAGGATAGGGCATCTACAGTTTCTCTGGGCAGCCAATGCCACACCACCTTTTGAGTAAAAAAAAATGCCTCCTAACATCTAAATCCCATCTCTTTTAGTTTAAAGCTATTCCCCTTAAGTGCCTTAAGAAATGACTAATAATTAAAAATTTAAACTTAGTAGGATGTGTGATTTTCTTCATGTGACCTGGTGAACTCCTACTAAGCTATAGAAAGAAGGACTCCTGCAAATCACTCAAATCTGAGCTCTGTTGAACCAGACTGTAATTGAATTTGAGAGTGAAAGAACGATTGATCAGATCTTGAAAGAATCTAAGAATTTGCTAGCACACTTTTAGCTAGTTGTGAGAGGAAAAATGACACAGGAAAGTGAGTGGTTCAGTGTTTGGACCACTGGCCAATTGAAGTCTTCCTGTGAGGCTCAGATTGTAGATGTAAATCAAGAGCTGCTTTAAATACAGAAGATATGCTTCATGTATGTCATTTACAAGGGCTGCTCTGAAAGTAATGCCTCCTAGTTTATTATGTTGACCATGATGTCAGAGGTGAATGTTGGTGGTATGATAGTAGTGATTGAACCTTCCTATTGATATTGCTTTACATGTTGTTGCCATGTGACAGATGGCAGCAGACAGGCAGTGTAGTAAAACGGTGTCTGGCTTTGAAGGGCTTATGGAGCAAAGGAGTGTCACTGAATTGCTCCATGCTGAAAAAATGGCACTCACTGGCATTCATTAACATTTGCTGAATGCTGATGGAGTCCAAGTTGTGGATGTGAGCACAATGAGGTGCTGGATTGTGTGTTTCAGCAGCAGAACAATGACATGAAAGATGAGCAGAGTTTCTGTTGGCCACACACAACTGCCACACTGTGAAATGAAGCTTGATAGCTCATCTGCACAAGTCAGTGGACTATAAGCAAGGAACTTTGTACAGAGCTGAGTATTGGCTGCAGTTCATTGTAAGCAATGGAATATTGCAAAGTTTGCACAATGTGCATCCTAGGAATGCTCACACAAGAGCAGAAAGGACAAAGTTTGTCAGTACCTATTGAACCCAGATCATAGGATCATAGAATGGCCTGGGTTGAAAAGGACCTCCAGAATCATCTAGTTTCAATCCCCCTGCTGCAGAGTCTCCAGCCACTAGACCAGGCTGACCAGAGCCATATCCAGCCTGGGGATGAAGGAATCCACATGAGACTGAAAGTGACAGGTTCCTGGAACACATCATTACCAGTGTCAAGATGCAACACTAAAATAAAGGCTTGAACTTCCAGAATCATACCTGAGAAGAAGACAACCATTCTCTTCCAATATGACCATGTAAGGCCCTGTACCAGTTTGAAGACTGTAGAGCACATCATCAATTTTGGCTGGACTGACCCACCACACCTACTGTATAGGACAAATAGGCACCTTCTGACTTCCAACTGTTTGGGGCATTGAAAGATGGACTGCATGGGCAACATTTTCCTGTCAGTGACGCCACTGTATCAGCTGTGAAACAGTGAGTCAACTTCACTGGAATAGATTTTTGAGTGGGGCTTGCAGGCTCTTGTCCATTACTGGCAAAAATGCATAGTTGCTGGTGATGACTATGTTGAAAAATGTGTTTTGTAGCTGAGAATTTGGTCTTATCAAATAGTGTTATTGTGCTCTTTGTATCTATTGTAGCGTCTGTGGAAATAAATAGGAGGCATTACTTTTCAGAGCAACCTATATTACACTGGTTTTGGTACTCAAGAGGTGAGTTCTTTACATATGGTAACTGACACTTTGTAAACATGTTTCCAATCAAGAAGACATGAAAATTCTGGTGCATTTAAATTGTACAGGTGTGTCTGGAGTCTCTTCCCTAAGAACAGATAAAGTGCTACTGACTATTTTGGTTATCTTCACACTGTGAAAATACAGGAAGAAAGGGAGTGCTTTTTGTGCCCTGTAGCAAAAAAAAAAAAAAAAACTATTCGACTAAGTTACTGTTTTTTTTCTTCTTTATCATTTTGTTATTTGGTTGAGAACCAGAGTGACTTGCTAAGAACTTTCAAAGGACAATCCAGAAGAACCAGCTGAAGATTAATTATGTAAATGGAATGTCGAGGACTTCCTGTCCCATGGTAGATTTGATGAAACAGATTTGCTGAAAAAGTGAGCTGTGGTTTTTAAAAGCCGCATTTAGAAATCTCCTAGACAACCTCCAATTACTGTATAGCTATTTAGATACCACAGTGATGCTTAGGCACCACAATATGAGTTTGAGAGATTTTAGAGTTACAAGGATTCTCCAGCTTTACCCAGTGAAATAACTTAGGGAGGGAGGAGTTGGAAACAGTTGTATGGAGGCTGGAATGAATGTCAGATCAGCTGAAGACAGTTCCTTGGTTTGTTCACTTAGAATTCAGTTTTCATAGAATCATAGAAAGGCTTGAGTTGAAAGGGACATTGAAGCCCCCCCAGTTCCAGCACCTGTGCTGTGGGCAGGGCTGCCCCCCACCAGCTCAGCTGCCCAGGGCCCCATCCAACCTGGCCTTCAGTGCCTCCAGAGATGGGGCACCACAGCTTCTCTGGGCAGCTGTGCCAGAGCCTCACCACCTTCTGAGTGAAAATTCTTCTAATGTTTAATTTAAATCTCCCCACTTTCATTTGATAGCTATTCTTCCCTGTCCTGTCATAATCAGATCTCACTAAAAGTTATTCCTCCTCCTGCTTATAAGCTCACCTTCAGTACTGAAGGCCACAGTGAGTTCTCCCTGGAGCTTTCTCCAGACTGAACAAACCCAACTTCCTTAACCTATCATTATAGGAGAGGTGGTCCAGCCCTCTGATCATCCTTGTGGCCCTCCTTTGGACCCACTCTTAATACCTTTACATTATTCTTGTGCTAGAGGCCCTAGGCCTGGACTCAGTACTGCAGATAGAATCTCATAAGAGCAGAGCAGAGGGGGACACATCCCTTGCCCTGTGTGTCAATGCTAGGCTTAGATAATGGGGGTGACTTACAAGATCGTTACTGGCTGCAAGACTAATAAAAAAATAGTCATACAGAGCCTACTTAATTATTTGGAGTTATTAAGAGATATAAGGGTGGTTAATGTCAAACAAAGCAAGTTTAAAGAAATGAGCCTTTCAAAACAGTTGTATTTTCTTTGAGATACGAATTTAGATGGTAAAGGTAATAAATGTACTTAGAATTTTTAAGGCATTTCACTGATAATATTTGAAATTATATTCATAATAGTACAAAATCAGTGTAGCACGTCTGAACTGAATATTTACATGGTTTTCAAAATCATGTATGGAAAAGTAGGGAAATACTTTTCAGTGAAACCTTGCTCAATTATTTTGTGCTGATATTTTATTAATCATCGTATTTTAATGATCAGAAAGTATGTTAAAAGGATAATATTTGTGTACATGATGAGCAGTGAGATGATAGTACACCACTATTTTTATGCATTCATATCTTAGAAGTAAGCAAAAGATGTTCCTGTATTGCTGCTGGTTAATTCTAAATCCTTAAATATAGAGTTGAAGTATGCAGGTTGGCTTTATTTTAGTGTTCTTTTATTAATGAATACAGACTGTATCAGGATACATCATCTTAGAAAACAAAGAATCTGAAAGGAATGTACATATTGTGGCTTGCTATTAAATTGATGATTATTTTCTTTGCCTTGGGAATTATTAAAGGATCGTGGTCAAGAGAAGGATTCAGACTGCACAGTCTGTTGGGGAATGAAAAGGAGGGGTAACAAGTGTTATAATTGCAGCTTGTAGATGGCTGTGAGACAGCGTGCATTTGATAATATGAGCTCTTCAAGCAGGGGTATCAATGCCATGATACTGAAACTGGATGAATTAATGGTAAAAATGTGATGCATACTAGAAACCAGAGACAGATTTCTAACATTAAGTGTAACAAATCATTGAAACAAATTGTTGTGTCTTTGATGGTGTCTGTTTCTGGACATTTTTTGCTCAACATTAGAGATAGACAGGTAAATAAATAAATAAATTTGCTGTAGAGGAGGCAGAGGTATTGAAGCTGGAGGAAAATTTCCAATAATTAAGTTATATGTTTAGTATTGTGTAGGTTGTCCTTCTGTCTTTAAGAACTGGTAATCTTAATAAACTGATTTTTTTCAGCGATTATAACTAAATAAAGAAGACATAGCATGTATAATGTAATTTTTCTTTTCCTTTTTTAGATTTATTGTCTAGAATAGACTTGGATGAACTGATGAAAAAAGATGAGCCACCACTTGAATTTCCTGATACTCTGGAAGGATTTGAGTACACTTTTAATGAAAGTAAGTCATATATGCTATCCTTAAAATTATGTTGAGAGGTTATCAGCAGTTTAATTATACATTATAAATCATTACTAGAACTCTACAGTTTTCTTTTAAGAGTAAAATTTTAAGCTGTAGGATAACAGCCTTGTAAATCTACCTAAGTAATATATATATTTTTTTTATTTCATGAAACTACCATCAAATCTCTCAATTTCTACAATACTGTACAATACATATATTTATAGTGACTGGCAAATGAGCAGTGTGGTAGGCTGGCTCTTCTGTAGGTCATAGTTTTTAATAGATTATTACATTACAGATAATTTCTGTGACTGAAAGTCAGATTAGCTGGCTGAATCTATATGTTAAATGAGCAGTAATATTTATGATTTCCAGTGCATACATTTTAAAATCCAGCTGAGAGATAAGCCACTGAGCTAAAGTAATACCAGACTTCAGGAAGAGGGCTCTTTCAAGATTGTTTGAAACCTGTAGGACAAATGGGGACATTTACAATTCTACTTCTTTGCAGTGTCTGTTCTGTGAACAGAGGAACTTTAGTTTCTAAATCTGCCTGTCTTACATCTTCCACTTTTAAAGGAAAAAAGAGCTTTCCTTTAAATGATAGTCATTTATGCAACACTTAGCTTTTTAATACCCTGATGGCTTTCACAGGAAGGTACTTAGAGACTAAAAGTGTCATGAAAGTGATGCTCTGTCTTTGATGGGAGGGGTTCAGCTCTGTCACTTTTCAGCTCCTTATTTTTAGATCTGCACAGTGTCTACTGTCTTCCTTACTGACTTCAGAGTTAATGGTTCATATATGGTTGATAAAAAGAGCTGAAATTTGAATTTTGGTGAATGATGTTCTAAAATAATGTTACTGAATATTCCATCACTAACTTTACAGGATGAGTGATTTCCAGAGAATGTAGCAGACACTGTTATGTACACTGCTGGTCAGTATGGTGAAAAAGATCTCTCTTTTGCTTTTATACAAGTGATAAACATGTTTGGTCTTATACTTTTTAATTATAAACATGTTTTGGTTTTTTTTTTGTGATGGGAAAAATAGAGATGATGTTTATGAGATTGAGAGGATCTTGAGAGGACAAGAGTACCAGAAAGACAAATAAATAAATAAATAAATATTCCAGCTTACTTATGGAGAGCACTATTTCATTTAGAATTGAACAGTATAATTGAAAAGTAACGAGCTGAAAATGAACAGCTGAGTGATGAGTCACAATGAAAATATAAAAATATTTTATATGTATATATAAAATGAAATATTTTATATAATATATAAAAATAAAAATATGAATACCCAAGACAGGGATGTGACATTGGGTAGAAATATTTCCTTGGAGACTAGTGCATGGAAAATGAACTGGAGATCAGGTAAGACAGATTTGAAAAAAATGCCACATAAACAGACTTATAGGCAGAAATCTTAAGAGGTATTAGCCCTTAAATACATCATTTAAAACACCAGGAATCAACATTCAAAAGTTTTGAAAATGTATGAACTGATTTAGCAGTTTAAAAATATTTAGTTGTTAAATCTTATTTTTGTTGCATAGACATTTCAGCTTTCTAGCATATACTTGCTTTTTTTTTAAAAAAAAAAAAAAACATTTCTCTGATTCTCTGCAATTTTATGATGCTCTGAGATAACTTGAGGTTTTTTCTAATCAGCTGAAATACTGCTTGTAAGATAACATTTCTGCAGCTTGTTTCCTGATTGGCTGCCATTTTATTCCTGTTATTTCAACCCAGTCGAAGTCTTTATTTGTGGTCAGATGTGCTACTGAATTTTTTCTATAAAGAAGGACAATTGCAGAAAGTTACACTGGAATGTGCAATTTCGAAGTGATTTTGCTGTGGGTGAGGATTCTGCTTTGTTCTAGTGTTATGATTTCAGTGTATTCTAACAAAGATTTCCTACTTGTCGGTACTGTGTCAGGAATACAGATCCTCACCTTAAATGTGGACAAGGGCGTTTTTTTTTGTTGTTTTTTGAGTTTTTTTCAGATTAACAGAAATGTTTTATGGCCACATACTTTAGCACAGGAGGTTCCACACTAGTATGCAAAGGAACTTCTTCGCAGTGAGGGTGATGGAGCACTGGAACAGGCTGCCCAGGGAGATTGTGGATTCTCTGTCTCTGGAGATACTGAACATCCACCTGCGCACCTACCTGTGCAGCCTGCTGTAGGGGCCTGCTTTGCAGGGGGGTTGGTCCCCATGATCATTAGGGTCCCTTTAAACTCCGACAATGTTGTGGTTCAGTGATATGTTAATTTTGAAAATAAGTGTTTCTTTCCAGTCATTAGTCCAATTTGTTCTCACACTTCTTTCGAAAATATGACTGGTTTTGAGGTAGGCTGTTTGTAGCTACAATTTGATCACCTAGCTGATGTAGCTGACCAGTATTTGATCTGTAAATGTTTATATTTCACTCCTCATCCATAGCAGGTTGAGTCTTAATATTTCTTACAAAACACTGTGACACTTGATACCTGCATGTAATTTCACTGTCATCACTTGTATTTAGCTAAATAAACAATACTATATATCTTTGGATTGGATTCTACGAATACATAGGCAGGAGGAGACTGGACAAGGAAGGTGTTCCCCCTCTGATGAAAGGTAATGGGGAGCTGGCTTCCTCAGACATACCAAAAAAACCCAGAAGGAATTCATAATATCCAGATTTTTAAATATGAGACTTCTGAAATTGTCAGCAGTGTAGTGTATTTTATTTTTAGTGAAGAAGTACTCTAAAATGTAGTGATATTGTTTCTTTTTCAGAAGGGCAGTTAAGACATGCAAAAACTGGGGAACCATTTGTATTTAACTATCGTGAAGATTTGCATAGATGGAACCAGAAGCGCTATGAAGCTCTTGGAGAGGTATGTAAACTGCATATGTGTGTAAAATGCAGTGTATCTGCATGTATGCATATAAGTATTAGTGTACTTTGTTTTTATTGTTTTTCTCTATAGAATGATGCTTTTAATTATAATATTTTAAGAAATATCTAGTGAGGATGCAGTCATTTAACAAAAGCTATTTCAGAATTAGTTGCCTGCTAATGCAACGGTAGTATTCGCTTTTACTGTGTGGCTTAAGATGCAAGTTAGAGTACAGTTTGACTTCAGTATGTGTTCAATCTAGAACATCAGTGTGATTAAGCAAATCAGAAAATATTATGTTATGCTGTTATTTATCTTTCTTCTCCTTCAGGTGAACCAGTGGGTGCAAAACTGGTGCACTGTCATTTCTAGCTAAGGATGAATTGGTTGGTCTTCTCTCATTTCTAGGAGATACTGAAAGCCTCTAGATGAAGTAGAGTGTTGAAGCTTGATTAATTAACAAAATATGTGGCTATTTACTAGATATTTTGATGCCACTAGCATTTCCTTGGGCTTTCTGTAGAGGTGGTGTGGGTGTACTAGACATAAAAACAACAGAGCATATACAGTTACTCTTCAGTGTGAAAATGATTCCAGTTTCTACCAATTCATTTGGTAATGTTTTAGGAGTTTTAATACCAGTTTGAGAAGAACAGATGAAATTGTCAGTTCTCAGACAGTGCAAAACAGTGTGTTGAACAGTCATAACCTCTAAGCCCAATGGAAAGAACAGTTTCAGCTGTCCTCTAAAGCTAGTATTGCTACTTACATTGAAGCCTAAGGGAAGGGGGTGTGCAGTTCTGCGCCCGAAACCACCAAAATTGAGTATTTTTCTAAGAAGGGCTGTATAATGTTGCCATGGAAACATGGCATGTCATTCATAATCTTCCTGTGCCTCATGACTTATCTGCTTTCATTAGTGTAACAGTTTTAGTAAGGATTAAACTCATGTATTGCTGAATGTATTAGATTTTTTGTCTTCCGCACTTCCTTAGTTACTGAAGAGTTAAGGTTTTACTTGGCATGCATCTGAGCACCATACATCTGTTCACTCGCTTTCCCTCCAAGTGGAATGATGGAGAGAAGTGGAAACAGTTAACAATTGTGGCCTTCCATGTGATGTTATGTGGTATGGAATAACACCTTGCTTAATTCAGGCCACAGTGGCCAGTTTCATCTTCTTATGTAGGGCTCCATGCAGCAGCCTTCCACCTCTGACACTTTCCTGCAATATGACAGGAACCTGAATTGAACAAGGCATGTTGCTTACTATTCTCTGGAATTTCCTCTATATCCCCAATTCAAAAAACCATAGGAGTCAACCTTGACTCTCTACTGCTGCTTTCTGTCGTAGGCGTCAACTGGGGCCATTCTTGCCAGATGTAAACAATGTTTTTTACATCTTGTCCTGGCCCGACTGGCCCAAAACCTACTTCATGAACTGTCTCTGAAAAGGCTGTGCTAGGACTTGCAAGGAAAAGAGGAAAGTATACAGGAAGTGGTAGCAGGGCTGTGTAGTCTGGGAGGAATACAGGGCTGTTGTCTGTGTGTATAGAGATAGGATTAGGAAAGCCAAGGCACAGATGGAGCTGAACTTGGCAAGGGATGTGAAAGATAACATGAAGGGGTTCTACAGATATATAGGCAGGAGATTGGCCAAGGAGAATGTTCCCCCTCTGATGAAAGGTAATGGGGAGCTGGCTTCCTCAGATGTAAAAAAACCTGAGGTACTCAGTGAGTGCTTTATCTCAGTCTTCTTGGGTGGTCAGGCTTCCCATATCTGCCAGGACCCTGAGCCTCTAGGTCAGGGTGTGGGGAGCGGATTCTGTCCCACTGTAACAGCAGAACATGTCCAAGACCTCCTCATGAAATTGAATGTATGTAAGTAAGTCCTAGAGTTCTGAGAGAGATGGCTGATGTCATTGCTCTCCATCATAATTGAAAAATCATGGCTGTCCCATAAAGTCCTGGATGACTGGAAGAAGGGAAACCATACTCCCATTTTTAAGAAAGGGAGAAAGGAAGACCTGGGGAACTACAGGCCGGTGAGCCTCACCTCTGTGCCTGAGAAGACTGTGGGGCATATCCTCCTAGAGGCTATGTTAAGGCACATACAAGACAAAGAGATGATCTGAGATGGCCAGCACAGTTTCACCAAGGGCAGATCATGCCTGACCAGTCTGATGGCCTTCTATGATGGAGTGACAGCATCATGGATGGGGGAGGGGTAACAGATGTCATCTTCCAGGATTTCTGCAAGGCCTTTGACGTGGTCCCTCACCACATCCTTCTCTGAAAATTGGAGAGGTGTGGATTTGAAGGATGGCCCGTTTGGTGGATTAAGCACTGATTGGGTCGTCACAGCCAAAGGGTTGTGATTAATGGTTCTGTATCAGAGTGGAGGCCCTCAGAGCTCAGTCTTGGGACCAGTGCTCTTCAACATCATCAGTGACACAGACAATGTCATCAAGTGCACCCTCAGCAAGTTTGCAGATGCCACCAAACTCAGTGGTGCAGTAGATAAGTGGAGAGAAGGGAAGCCATCCAGGGGGACAGAGATGGCAGAGAAGGACTTGGAGGTCCTAGAAGACAAGAAGCTGAGCATGAGCCAGCAGTGTGCGCTTGCAGCCTGGAAAGCCAGCTGTGTTCTGGACTGTGTTAAAAGAGGAGTGGCCAGCAAGGAGAGGGAGGTGATTGTCCCCCTCTGCTCGGCTCTTGTGAGGCCCCATCTGCAGTACTGCAACCAGGACTGCAGCCCCCAGTACAAGAAAGACATGGAGCTCTTGGAACAGGTCCACAGGAAGGCCACTAAGATGATCAGTGGGCTGGAGTGCCTTTTCTATGAAGAAGGGTTGAGGTTCCTCTGCTATGTTGCTCCACAGTATATTGATGTCATCAATATACTGCTGAATGTCATCAATACACTGTCTGAATCAGCCCACTGCAATTGGTGGGACTGTGTTTCCATCCCTAAGATATTCAATTCCAGGTGTACTCAATAACCCTCCAAGTAAAAGCAAACTGTGGTCTGCACTGCCTGATACCAGTTGTGAATTACCATTTGACTGCCTTTGACTCCAGTTTGTATCGAAGCTCTAGCATGTCTGGCACAGCAGCGCTCTGTAGTGGTGTGACTTCATTTAAGCCACGGTAGTACACTGTTATCCTCTGCTCTCCAGTGGTCTTTTGTGCTGGCTTAATGGGATTGTTAAAGGATAAATGAGTCTTGCCAATTAATCCTTGGCTTTCCAATTGATGAATCAGCTTATGGAGGGGAATTAGACTGGTTGGTGTGATATTTCTGCCTGTGCACTACTGTGGTAGCAGTGAGTATGCAGCACACCAGTGTCCACTAGAATCTCATACTCCTGTGGTTCTGATGTTCAAATCCACACTTAACCTGATAATCCCTCTACCTGGCTGGAGGCAAGACCCCTCTAGTCCTGTTTATTTTATTCATCACAAACTTGTCACAAATGCAAACTAAAAGGCTCACTTCCAACCTCAGAGATAGGATCAGACCATCTTCACTGTCCTGGAGACTGCCCACTGGAAGTTGGAGCAGCCATTTCCCTGGAAAGAATCCCCTTTCTCAATTGTTCTTCCTTGCAAGTCTCATATCTGTGAGGTGATTTTTCCATCCCACTTTCTCAGACCTTCTTCATAGCCATGCAGGTAAACTGCAGGGTGCCTCGCAGCGTGTACCCAGTATGTCCCCTCCTTAGGGCAGAGGAGTACTTCCTTCTAGTAGTCGAGATACTGGGCTATAACAGGTAGGGAGTAAGACGTATTGTCTTTGAATTGCTGGAACTTCCCAGTGTCTTCACAGCTGAGACACAGGTCCACAGGGAGAAAGAGAAATCTTCTTTATATTGATGAAGTAGGCTAGCTACTTCAATCACTGTTAGTTTTTCATTATCTTTTAAGTCCATTGCTGTGAGTGCTCTGGCATACAGTGATACTACATTTTATACAAATTTTTGCAATATAGATCATGGGCACCTGTTGTCATTTTGCAATAAATGATCTTCATCCATGTCAATGTTATACATCACCTCCAGCACAAGTAATCCCCTCAGGTACTGGATGTCTTTCTCTACGTGGTCTACTTACTTGGGAAACGTACCAGATCTTCCTTGAAAGGATATCTTTCCTTCATGGCAGAAAACAGTAACTTTCATAGGATGAAGGCTTATGTCCCTTTTCCAACTGCTTTGCCAATACCCTCTTCTCTAAAAGGGGATCCCAGCTGCCTGGATTCACTGCCCACTAAGTGCAGGCTATTGGACTTGTTATCCCGGCATTGGAGCAACCAGTTGACAGTATGCTCATCTGGGTTATACCTGAAGAATTTTTGTGTATCTTGCGCTCACTGAGAGTTGGGAATCAGGTGTTTTTGAGTTCTGACTCCTCTTCCTCCTCCTCCCATCCTCGAGATGGCCCTGATTCATCCTCACCATCTTCTATCCTACTTCTAGCAGGAGTTTCTGACCTTACTAAGGAAGCTGACTTATACAGCTTTTGTGTGTGTGTTTGTGTGTGTGTGTGTGTGTGTGTGTGTGTGTGTGGATGACTGATACTGCCAAAGATTCTTTCTTTGGTTGAATTGCAGGACCTGTTGCAGGTGTTGAAGCAACCACAGAGTCTTCTGCAGGAGTTAGTGTAACTATAAGGTCTGTTGTACTGTCATCAGATCCAAAGACCTCTTTCCCTTTAAGGTGCTTGATAGTGTAGAACAAGGCTTGGTAGGCATAACCCTCGTCCCAACATGCTGCAGTGATTTGTGCCTCTCTAGAATTGCCCTGGAGACAACATACCTTTTCCAGATATTTCACTGGGTTTGAACAGTGTTTCTTTGTACAGGAAAAAGGTAACCTCAGTCCAGCCCCAAGAAAACGTAAACAGTTCAAAATAATCATATATAGTAAGTCGTGTGGCTCTATGAAGTGTTTTTGAAAGATCTCTCTTTGCTATTGCTGGATGCTTGTTCGTCATAC